TACCTGAGACTGGGTAATTTATAAGGAAAAGAGGTTTATTTGGCTTACGATTCTGGGACAGCTGCATCTGGCACAGGCCTCAGGCTGCTTCTACTCATGGCAGAAAGTGGCAGGTACAAGCAGATCACATGGCAAGAGGAAGCAAAAGAGAGAGAGAGAAGGTGCCAGGGTCTTTTAAACAACCAGCTCTTGTGGGAACTAATAGAGTAAGAATTTACTCATTAATCTCTCCCCCCTCCAAGGAGAGCATTAATCCATTCATGAGGGATCCACCCCCATGACTCAGTCAGTTTCCAACACTGCCACATTGGGGATCAAATTTCCACATGAGATTTGGAGGGGACAACACATCCAAACTCCATCAGGTATCAACAAGGAGAGACAACGGCTAGATAGAGTAAATGAAGGAGATGGATCAGTGGATACTCTCAAGAAGATGGAAAGAAAACCTGAAAATGAAAGAAAATACATGCAATTGTGTCTCTGGGAAGGGATTTTTGTCTTGCATATACAAAGAACACTTAAATGCCTAGTTAATGAGATTGTTTAAAAACCCATGTTAGAAACTAAGAAAAAAACCTGCTTAAAGAAAGTAAGATAAAGCTAGTATTGGAAATTCCTTAGAAAGTTTTGAATATTGTTTTGCTTTTGGAAAAAGGAAATATTGAAATACATTACAAGCAAGGGACTTCCCAGTTCAATACATGTCTCCTTAGGTAGTTAACCAAGTATTCTTTGGAGGTGACATGTTTCTCTTTTCAATTCTGTATATCGATAGGGACCCTGTGAATGCTCTGTGTCGAAAACCATTGGTACAATGTATTGTGCTGATGTATGAAAATCGGTATAGTTGGATCAGGAAAATTTGGATAATACATGAGTCAAAAATTTTATTTTTGGACAAAAAAAATTATCATTTGAGCAAAATATCAACAAAATACAGAGCCAGTCATTCAGATAAAGTGCCACAATAAACCTCTACATTATTTCAAGATCTTATGAAGTGTTTGTAATTAATCAAATTTAGAAAGTCTTGTTTCTATATTCTATGATAAATACAGAATTGTTTTTGGAAATCTGGTATCTTCTGGAGTTATTTATCTTTAAAATTGTACACCTTTATTTATTTAAATATTAAAAAACAGTTTCTCAATTTCTTCTATTACCCTGACAAGTTAAATTAACATATTTTTTAAGTTCTATTTTCCTTCTCAGGAATGTTTGAATTAAAAAAAAAAAAAAAAAAAAATGAAAAACAAATAAAACACAGATTAGTGCCAGACAAACCTGGTTTTTAATTTTATCTCTACTCCCTACTAGCTCCAAAACCTTGAAGAATTTTTGTAACCTCTTGGTGCTTGAATTCATCATCTGTAAAATAGTACTAGATAATTTTTAATGAGATCAGGCTAGCAATGTGCAATTTTTTGGCCCACACGTCCCACCCAGTGGATGACAGCTATGTGGATATCATTAGCTGAAACACCTTCTCGTGTGTGTAAAGTACATTGAGACAATCATTTCCTCTTTCTACCCGAGTCTTTTTGAGATCTCACATGCAGAGCACACGAATCTTGAGCAAGACTACAAAGAGTCCTTAACACCCAAAGTAGCAGGATTATATTATTTCCAGAGGACTGGCTTTGCCAGTGACTCCACCAATTTGTCAAAGAACTGTTTCTCAACAGGAACAGCATCTGAGTGGGCAAACTTTTTCCACGTTAACGGCATCAGTACTACAGAATATTTTGCTCTGCTGTGGAAACTTTTACCATGTAGTGAATAGTTTTGCTTTTCAGTTCTAGATTTTAGTATTCTGAATTTTTTAAAGGGACTGTAAATCATTTTAGTAGCCACTTTTGATAATTTATAACACAATTTTAGACCTCTCGCTTGTGTTTTCATAAGAAAATGTTTTTAATTAAGCATGGATTGTGTTCTCTGTACACCTTCCTGTAATTAATCACACCACAAAACATTTCATGTCCAGTTATTTTTAATAGCATTTCAGGGAATGTTCTAGGCTCAGGGGTTAGGAATGGTCTATTGTTATAAATGATCTAAAATTATACAGATATAATCAGTCTGGCCTCAAGGAGATTTCTTCTCTTCTGCAAGAATGTTCTCAAATATAGCAAATAATGGGCCCATCAAACTGTCCATCTTTAGAGTGATTCACAAGTAAAGTTAAGATAGAAGTTTTTCTAGTGGTGTTCCTAGCCTCCCTTTTCATGGGTTGCCATTTAAGAATGTTTTCTCTCCTTTCCTGCCCTCATGGACTCTGTCCTTATTAAAGTATGCACTTGGGGAAGAACCTGGCATTAGTAGCTTAAGTGAATGCAAGAGAATGTGATAACCGCTTTCAGAGGAGCCTGTGAAGTGATGTAAAATTTGACACTCTGTGTGAGGCTCACCCTGGCTTATCTGCTTTTACGAAGCCACTGAGAGAATTGCCTTCTCTATGGCTGGTCCATGTTAAACCATTCTGAACTTCCTAAGCAACTCCAGTCTGTGGATGACATGTCAGAGAGACCTGTAAGTAGAGCTGATCTAGGAACAATCTCTGTAAACATAGCTTCTTCTAGGTACTAATGCTATTGCAAGTAGATTTTTCTATATATCAGGCAAGTGTTTGTTTTTTTAAAGTGGAACGGGAAGAAAGTGTTTTTCTTATCTGGACAGTGCTGCTAATATCTATGTGATCAGATACAGATAAGCTAATTTCACTTGATAAATGTTTTTTGATTCTATTCAATGTCAAATATATATTTTGGTATTAATTGGTACATTTTAATACCTGTCTCATCAGTTTCCTTTATAATGTTAATTTGATTTAATTCTGTTATATCTACCTTCTAATTACTTTGTTCTATTCCAACAGCTGGATAACATACATGTTCTTCAGCATTTTTGTCCTCTGGAAAGTATGTATAATTTTTGTATTGTTCTACAGTATTGTAATCAGGTGGAAATTTGCATTATACAATATTTAGATCTTTCTTTATATTGATCACTTTTTATTGGTTCAGAGACCAAAAAAACTCTCCTATATTATCCTATCTTTAAGAAAGTCAAAAAGAAAATTATTTCCTACAATTTTTTTCTATCTGTACATCATATAGTCATAAGCTCTTAGACTTGAAATGGACTTACATTTTATCTGGTCAGCTCCCCTCTCCCCTCTCTTTACCCATCCTTTCTGTTCCATATTCACCTTTCATAGAACATAAAAGGAGACAGGAGTCTAAATGAATCAGCCAGAGGCACCATAGTCAGCTAGTCAGTGGCAGAGCCAGAGATGGAATCCAGATCTGCTGAGTTCTAGTCCAGAGCTCTTTCTTTGGGAGTGAGATGTGGTCACAGTCAGAATGACATCTGTGCTCACTTCCTCCTTACAAGATCGCCGGCCCTCGCTGTACCAGCTCTGCGTATTTGTTTGGCCACCACACAGGGCTTTTGACTTTTCTTGGTTTGTTTTCTTATTGGCAATTAGTAATGACTCTAGTCATCTCAGCATATTTTATGAACCAATTAATTTATGGTCTAATGTATTATTTCATTTAAATGGTTTTATATTAAAGTTTTCTGAATTCAGATAATCCAGGAATATTGTTTCAATCTTTGCTTTTATGTGGAAAAGATTTTAAAATCATTTTACACTGAACTTCTTAAAAGAAACACCTTAAATTTTCAAAATTACTTAAATACTTGTAGGGCATATGAATTTTTTTGGTGTTCTAATCAATGGTATATATATTTCACCTGAAATTTTTAAAAAATTAATTTGCTTTAAGTACATAAGAAACCCTAAGCAAGGATTTCTTGAGGCCCATTTTAGATGATTCTAATTTGAGATGTCTTTCTCGTTTTATTTTTTAGTGATGACACATTTTGAAACTAATAATAGATATGATATTAAAAACAACTCAGACCAGATGGTTTACATCGTAACTGAAGACACAGATGACTTTACCAGGAATGCTTATCGGACACTAAGGCCCTTCGTCCTCCGGGTCACTGACTGTACAGGCCGAGAAATCATGACAATGCAGAGACCTTTCAGATGCACCTGCTGTTGTTTCTGTTGCCCCTCAGCCAGGCAAGAGGTCAGAGAACAGAGAAGTCTACTACATTGTTTCTTCCTGATCCAACTCTTCACAGCACGGCTGTGCTCCTTCCAGAACTACACAGGAGGGATTTTCCCTGCTTCTGCCATTCAGAATGGAAGATGATAAATAGCAAGGGAGGAATCCAAATGATCTAAACTTAGTAAAATTAGAGAGGGCTTTTTTGTATTGGTTTCTGCTCTTCAGGGCTAATCAGTGGATCAAGGAAATTAGGGTTGTGATTCGACCAGTTGCATCTACTTAATTAGAAATCCACCTATCACATAGAATAGTCACACACATTTATCTAAATTACTACATGTCATCAGATAAGGTAGTGCTGAACATAAGCATATGCTTTTAGAATTGGAAGGGACTCCAGAAAGCTTTACAATACCCATCACAACCCACACAAAAAGATTAAGTGACTAACAAGAGTGTCACACTTGGTATGCTAGAATTAGAATGCAGATGTGATGAAGAATAGTTTACTATCCTATAATCTGTGCAGTTTTAGTAAGGTTGTTTGCTATGGTGAAAAGAAAAACAGTTTTAAGAGAGACCAACCAGATTAAGTGACTAACAAGAGTGTCACACTTGGTATGCTAGAATTAGAATGCAGATGTGATGAGGAATAGTTTAATATCCTATAATCTGTGCAGTTTTAGTAAGGTTGTTTGCTATGGTGAAAAGAAAAACAGTTTTAAGAGAGACCAACCGGAGTTCAAATTCCAGATATGCCACCTACTTATATTTGGACAATTTACATTAACTCTTTGAGACTCCATGTTATTTTTTCTTTTTATTTTAACTTCTCAATGTACAATGTATTTGATATTCATGTCCCTTTACCTGTTCCTCTTTCCTTACTCCCGCTCCCTTCTCCCCACCCATCTACATCATATCTGTTCACTTGTCTTAACAGGTTCAAGGAATTGTTGTGATTGTTGTGTCTTCTTCCCCCCTCCAATAGTTTATTTGTATACATATTTATTTATTTATTTTTAGCTCCCGAAAATAAGTGAGAACATGTGGTACTTCTCTTTCTGTGCCTGACTTGTTTCACTTAATTTTCTCTAAGTCCATCCATGTTGTTGGGAATGGTACTATTTAATTCTTTTTTATAGCACAGTAGTATTCCATTGTGTAGACATATCACAGTTTCCTTATCCACTCATCTGATGATGGACATTTAGGCTGGTTCCAACTCTTGGCTATTGTAAATAGTGCTGCAATAAACATGGGAGTGCAGGTATCCCTTCAGCATGATGATTTCCATTCCTCCGAGTATATTCCCAGCAGTGGAATAGCTGGGTCTTATGGTAGATCTATCTGTACTTGTTTGAGGAACTTCCATAACATTCTCCATAGAGGCTGCACCATTTTCCAATCTCACCAACAGTGTATGAGAGTTCATATTTCTCCGCATTCTAGCCACCATTTATCATTCTCAGTTTTTTGGATATCAGCCATCCTAACTGGAGTGAGATGGTATCTCAAAGCAGTTTTGATTTGCATTTCCCAAATGTTGAGTTTTGTTGAGCATTTTTTAATATGTCTGTTAACAATTCCTATGTCTTCCTTTGAGAGATGCCTTTTCAGTTTCTTTGCCCATTTTTTAATTGGGTTATTTGTTTGTTTGCTGTAAAGTTCTTTCAGTTCCATGTGTATTCTGGTTATTAATCGTCGGTCAGATGTATACTTTGCAAATATTTTCTCCCACTCTGTTAGTCGTCTCTTCACTGTGTTAACTATTTGTTTTGCTGTGCAGCCCTTGGTGTTGATCCCGCGCCTCGCTCAGCCAGTGAGCGGGAACCGGTCTGTATGTGGGATCCAAACCCTCGGGCGGGAGCGCCGCCACGCTTCCCAAGCAGGGCACTTATCCAGTGCACCACCAGGCTGGCCCCATCTTTTCCAATCTGGATGCAATCTATTTCCTTCTCTTCTCTAATTGCTCTGGCTAGTACTTCCAACACTATGTTGAATAGGAGTGGTAAAAGTGGGCATCCTATCTATTCCCTGCTCTTAAGGGAAAAGCTTTCAACTTTTCCCCATTCAGGATGATATTGGCAGTGGGCTTATCATATATGGCTTTAATTGTGTTGAGATAATTTGGCTTAGTTTTGGTAGTTTGTATGCATCCAGAAATTTATCCCTTTCCTCCAGATTTTCAAATTTGTGGTCATATAGTTGTTTATACTAGTCTCTAATGATTCTTTGTATTTCTAAGGTATCAGTTGTAATATCACCTTTTTCATCTCTAATTTTTGTTGTGTTTTCTTTCTCCTTTTTCTAGTTAGGCTTGCTAATGGTTTGTCGATTTTATTTATCTTTTTAAAAAAACCAACTTTTTGTTTCATTGATTTGTTGCATCATTTTGGGTTTTTCTATTTCATTTAGTTCTGCTCTGATCTTAATGATTTCTTTCCTTCTACTAATGTTGGGTTTGGATTGTTCTTCTTTTTATAGTTCTTTAAGGTGAAGTATGAGGTTGTTTACTTGCCATCTTCCCATTCTTCTGAACTAAGGATTTAATGCAATAAATTTCCCCCTTAGTACTGCTTTTGCAGTATCCCATAGGTTTTGGTATGATGTGTCATTATTTTCATTAGTTTCAAGATATTTTTTGATGTCCTGTTTAATGTTTTCTTGGACCCATATATCATTAAGTAGAAGGTTGTTTAATTTCAATTTGTTTGTATAGTTTCCAAAGTTTCATTTGTTATTGATTTCTAATTTTAATCCATTGTGGTCTGAAAAAATACACAGAATAATTCCAGTTTTTTTGAATTTGTTGAGACTTGATTTGTGACCTCACATGTGTTCTATCCTGGAGAATATTCCATGTGGTGATGAGAAGAATGAATATTCTGAGGTTGTTGGATGGAATGTTCTATAGATATCTGCCAAGTCCAATTGGTCTAAAGTGTTATTTAGATCTTGTTTTTCTCTATTGATTTTTTGCCTAGATGATCTGTCCAATGTTGAGAGTTGGGTGTTCAGGTCCCCTGCTATTATGGTATTAGTATCTATCTCATTCTTTAAGTCTCATAGCTTTTGCTTTATAAATATGGCTGCTCCGATATTGGGTGCATATATGATTATGATTGTTATATCTTCTTGATGGGTAGATCCTCTTATCATTATATATTTGCCTTCTTTATCTCTTTTTATGGTTTCTGGTTTGAAGTCTATTTTATCTGATATAAGAATAGCTGCTCCAGCTCATTTTCATTTCTTTTTTTTTTACCTTTTTGTCTTTTTTCGTGACCGGTAATGGGATCGCAACCCTCAGTGTCGTGCCCGCACCACGACCGGCAACGGGATTGCAACCCTCGGTGTCGCACCCGCACCGCGCTCAACCAGTGAGTGGACTGGTCTCTATATGGGATCCGAACCCTCGGCAGGAGCGCCGCCGTGCTCCCAAGCGCCGCACTCTGCCGAGTGCACCACGGGGCCGGCCCTCATTTTCATTTCTATTTGCATGGTATATCTTTTTCCATGCTTTCACTCTTACTCTGTGTGTGTCTTTACAAGTGAAATGAGTCTCTTGAAGGCAGCATGTTGGGTCCATCTTTTTAATCCAGTCAGTCTGTGTCTTTTGAGTGGGGAATTTAATCCGTTTACATTTAGAATTATTATTGAAAGGTGTTGATTTACTCCTAGCATTTTATTGATTTTTGTTTAGATGTCTTAAGTGTCTTTTGTTCCTTTCTTTCTGATTTTCTGTTTGTGTTCTGTATTTGTTGGTTTCTTCGGGTGGTAGATAAACTATTTTTTCTCTTTATTTTTAGCATTTTTGATTTACTGGTGGGTTTTGTTCTTTCTTGAGTATTCATGGTAGTGATGGTTGTTTTTCAGGTACCAAACCCAGTACTCCCCTGAGAATTTCTTGTAAGGCTGGTTGTGTGGTAGTGAACTCTTGCAGTTCTTGTTTATCTGAGAAATATACTATTTGTCCTTCATTTTACCTTGCTGGGTAAAGTATTCTTGGCTGGCAATTTTTGTCTTTTATTATTTTGAATATATCATCCCATTCTTTTCTGGCTTTTAGGATTTCTGATGAAAAGTCTTGATGTTAGTCTGATAAGGGCTCTCTAACAGGTGACTTTCTGCTTCTCTCTTGTAGCTTTTAAGATTCTCTCTTTGTCTTTGAGTTTTGCCAATTTGACTATAACATGTCTTACTGAGGACCTTTTTGGGTTGAATATGCTTGGGGATCTCTGCGCCTCCTGAACCTGAATATCTGTGACTTTCCATACATCTGGGAAGTTTTCTGCTATTATGTTCTTGAACATGTTTTTAATGCCATTTTCTTTTTCCTCCCCTTCTGGAATACCCACAAATCAGATATTTGAGCCCTTAAGTTGTCTATTATCTCTCTTTTTGGTCTCCCTGTGTTAATTCAAACAGCCTGTCTTCAAGGTCAGAAATTCTCTTTTCTGCTTGTTCTAGCCTGCTGGTTAAACTCTCTGCCATGTTTTTTATTTTGTTGAATGAATTCTTCAGCTCCACAAGCTCTGCTATATTCTTTTGTAGGGCTTTGATTTCTTTGTACATTTCTTCTTTCCAGTCCTGTATATTTTTCCTCATTTCATTGTGTTGTCTGAGTGTTCTTGTATCTCATTTAGTTTTAATAGAATTGTTGTTTGAAATTCCTTGTCAATCATTTCAAGGACTTCCTATTCTATAGGATGTAGAGATTGGGAGTTATTATTTTCCTTTGGTGGTGGTGTACTTTGTTGATTTTTCATATTTCTGTTATCTCTCCTTTGATATTTAGTCATTGTGGCAGGGGGTATCACGGTCCACTCTTTTCACCCTGATGTCTGGCCTGTATCCCATAGGGACTGCCTATTCTGGGTGGTGGGTACTGGCCTGGGCTGTGGGTCCCACAGCGCTGCCTGTTCTGGCATGACTGACTCGGGCATTTGTGCCTGGTGGCTCTTGGGCCTCTCTGAGTGGCGGGGACTGGCCTGGCCTGGGAGTTCCCCCCACAGTGCCTGCCTGTTCTGGCGTTGCTGACTCAGGGTGTGTGGCCCCAGCAGCTCTTGGGCCTCTCTGGGTGGTGGAGACTGTCTTTGGCTAGGGATTCCTCAGCACCTGCATGTTCCAGGATGGCTGGCTCCAGCCAGCTGTGTGGGCCTGGTGGCTCTCGGGCCTCAGTGGGAGGCAGGGACTGGCCTGGGCTGGGGAGCAGGCAGGCACCACTGGACCCCCAGCCCAGACCAGTCCCTACCACCCAGAGAGGCCCAAGAGCCACCAGGCCCACACACCCTGAGTCAGCCACGCCAGAACAGGCAGGTGCCATACGACCCCCTGCCCAGGCCAGGCCCCCACTGCCCAGAGACTCTGTGTTCTTATTGATAAAGTGGGTAGAACAATACCTGATAGGATTACTGGGATATTTAAATGATATGTTAAGTACCAGCATTTACTAAATATTAATTTATTTATAAGTCTCTCTGTGCCTTAATTTATTTACTTGTAAAAAGCAGATATTAATAGTACTTACCTGGTAGGATGATTGTTTTGAGGACTAGGTAGTAAATAAATGTCAATTCCTTAGCATTGTGCCTGGCAAATAGTATAGTGCTCAATGAATATTATGTATTGTTCCCAGATATCTTACTGCTTTGTCATTATTTTCTTTGTAATTACAGCACTATATTTGAAGTGGATCTCTACATTTTATCCTCGATCCTTTTAGATATAGTAGGCATTTTTTAAATATATATTTGTGAGTTGTGTTTTTAAAGTCAAAGCCTATAAAGGTAGCCTTCTGAGATTACAAGAAGCAAGGACAGAGTAAAGCAAATCAAAATTACAAACTCAATTCAATTTATGAATCTTTTGTCCCATAAGATTATTTAGGGTTTTTTGTTTTTTTTGTAGCCTTCTGAGATTACAAGAAGCAAGGACAGAGTAAAGCAAATCAAAATTACAAACTCAATTTAATTTATGAATCTTTTGTCCCATAAGATTATTTAGGGTTTTTTGTTTTTTTTGTTTTTTTCAGATTTCTCCACTTTTACTTGTATTTATGTGTGTGTGAATTTAGTTTATGCAGTTTTATCAACTGTATAGATTTCTGTATTCACCACCACAAACGAATACCAAACAGTTCCATCACCGCAAAATCCCCTCTTATTACCACCCCATCTTCCTTCCCCCTCTTTATCCCTAACTACTGGCAACCACTAATCTGTACTCTATCTCAATAATTTTGTCATTTTAAAAATGTTATATAAACAGAATTATATAATATATAGCTTTTCAAGATTAGTTTTATTTCCACCCAGTGTATTTACCTTGAGATTAATATAAGTTGTTCCATATATCAGTAGTTCATTCCTTTTAATGGCTGAGTAGTATATCGTGGTATGAATTTTTTTAAAGCAATTTATGTTTATACAATTGTGATTTTTTATTTCTTAGGCTTAAACTTATATGAGATATCAGTTCTTCTAGGAAGCGATCAAATTTATATATTTGTGTATAGCTATAAATTCACATATAGGAACAATAATATCTCGATTTGACAATTCATGAAGTTGTGCGGTTCTGCCCCATGTCCTCTGTAGTCTTTTCCCAAAATTCTTAGGAAAGTTCATATGACACCAGAGAAATAGTCCATAGAACTTTGACTTTGGTCTTTTAGCATATAATTTAGATTTTATGACTCTTTTGTTATTATTAGTTCTTCAAAAAGGAATGTTATAAACATAATTAACTAAAACTGGGTAGTGGACAATATTTAAAACTCTTTAAAAATATACACACGCTGTTGTTTTCACAATATACAATTTTCAATGTGCCTCTTTTCTCTTTTCTGTTATGATTATCATGTCTGAGATTTGGTTTTATCCAATTTAAAATCTAAGAGGTTAGCTTGTTACTGTTTCATGGATTGTGCAAAGATATGAGATTCCTAGATAAGAGACAAAGGACATTATTACAGCTCAGCAAATAGCATGAGCATCAGCATGTTTGTGTAGGTTCCTGTCTCCACATTCTAGGGGTTGGTGCAGAGGAGCCCAGGCGGTGCTGCATGTAGAGGATCTCATCTAGGTTGTGTCGATGCGTGTGTGTGTACATATGTATGTGGCATCCTGACCTCTGTCATCACTTCATTTGCAGCTGGAGGTGCAGTGTCCTCCTGGAGTCACCATTGGCTTTGTTGCAGAACACTGGAACCTGTGCAGGGCAGTTTACAGCATCCAAAACGAGAAGAAAGAGAATGTGATGCGAGTGCGTGGGCCATGCTCAACCTATGGCTGTGGTTCAGATTCTGTTTTTGAGGTGAACATATGTAAAAATAATATTTCTACTATTTTTTCCTGCATGTACTAACAGAACTCAGAATGATCTAGCTTTAGGCAATTTTTTTCATGTGTATGACTGAAGTAGTATGAGCAAAGTTTTTTAACCAGTTGATATCAAATGATTTTCAGATTATTGTTAGTAGATTGCTTAATGTTTTCCAATATGTGAGCTCCTTTATTTATTTTTAATGGATACATATTGATTGTACATATCTATGGGGTACAGAATTATATTCCAATTCATGCATACAATGTGTGATGATCAAATTAGGGTAATTAACATATTCATCATTCCTAAATTTATTATTTCTTTGGTGAGCTCCGTTTTTATGATTTCAGTGCTTGAGAAAGATAAAAATAAATCATTTAAAACATTAAACCATCTGAGAGCAAATAGCCTGATGTAATTCATTTATTTTATTCTGGGCTGTATTTAATTAACCATTTTTTCCAAAGATTTCCAAGATGGGAATATAGGTTGTAGGTGTTATGCAAGAGCCCAGTATATCACAGAACATATAGAGCATGCGTAAGGTATGTAAATTGCTTATTTGCAGGATAGAGGTCTGTCTGCATCCTCAAGAAATAGGATAACACTGATTACATGGATAAAATTCATAGTAGGTTATATTATGACATTTTCTCAAGAAAAAGAAAACACTTTTTTATTGCCTTTATCTCAGTGGCTACCCTATGAATCTGACAAAGAAAATCCCTACTATTTCCTGTGATTACATGGATAAAATTCATAGTAGGTTATATTATGACATTTTCTCAAGAAAAAGAAAACGCTTTTTTATTGCCTTTATCTCAGTGGCTACCCTATGAATCTGACAAAGAAAATCCCTACTATTTCCTGGGCTTCTTAAAGAGTACTTTCTGAGTGCCTGCAATTCAGTGAGGCTCCTCATCTGCTAAAATTGCTCATTCTAATATTTCCTATGATAGCCAATAAATTTTCCTTGGTTCTTATTGTATATCACCATAACATTAAGCATTGCTTATTAAAAGACCATTGCAGAAAATGTAGATAAGCCAAATTCCTAGGGCAGGGTGTGTGTGTGTGTGTGTGATCATTCTCATGGCCAAGTGACATTAGACGTTAGTATTTT